CCTGCCACTATACCACTCCCCTTCCCCCATCTTGCCTAGTTTAAAGCCCTCCTTACCAGGCTGGCCCATCTGTTGGCAAAGAAAGACGCGCATGCCCCGCTTGGTAAGGTGGATCCCATCGCTCCCCATCAGCTGTTGATCTTCAAACAGGGTCCCATGGCCATAGGAACCAAAGCCCTGTTGCCAACACCAGCGGCGCAGCCCGTTGTTAACTCGGAAAACTAAAAAAAAGTCTACTCCTCCTCCTGTCCTTTCCCCTCACAGGCAAGATTGAGGAGAAAACAACCTGGGCTCCCAGACCCTTGACCACCATCCCCAGAGCTCTGGAGTCTTGTTTGATGGTTTCCAGTTTGCCTTTCATGTCGTTAGCACCCACATGGAAGATCAGCAGAGGGTAGTAGTCCGATGCATGGACAAGCCTTGGTAGTCTTTCCACGACATCTCTTATTCGAGCCCCTGGCAGGCAGCAAACCTCTCTGGACAAGAGGTCGGGTCGGCAGATAGGTGCCTCTGTCCCCTGCAGCAGGGAGTCACCCACAACAATCACTCGCCGCTTCTTCCGGGGGTTCCTGCACGGCACAGGGTCTGCCAGGCCAGTTGCCTCCCTTGGAGCCATGCCGAGCGTCTCCTCAGCTTGGAGGGCGCTAAACTTGTTCTTCACAGGCAAATCTTGAGGAGGAGCAAGAGCCTTTCTCCTTCTACAAGAGGTGACCAGTTTCCAGTTATCAGTTAAGATAAATTTTGAATGGATGGAAACTGGAGTTTACAGTTACTTTGTGTCTTTTATACCATTACTTGGGAGCATGAGGAGGTGCATGGAGCTTCTATAGTTCTAGCAGAAGTATTTGATAACAAATTCTGAAGTCAGGTGTGGCATGTGAATGCCTATCCTGAAGCCACACGTAGCAATGCGAGTCAGGAAAGTAAATTTATTCTAGGCTAAGTCACTGATGGTTCTTCACTTATGTAGTAAGTATTGAAAGGAATCATTAAAAAGAGTAACAGAAAGTGAGACCTAGTTGGGACCCAGTGGGTAAACAGCAAAACTAATTTTAAGTAAAAACAGTTTTCCACTTTTTTTTTGAGATAACCAGTACTTTGGAATTATCATATGGACAATTGAAGAAAGACTTCAGACTGTGCCAAGACAGTAGTATTTGTTACATCAAGTGATTATGTACTGTATGAATTCTTTTGAACAATAACCAATATTTATGAGAGCTGCTTTTTATTTTCTTGCATAACTGTTTTGGATAATCAGATTTTCAGTTCTTATAGATGTTATATTACTTTTCTGTCTTGATGGAAACCAGGAAGCCCACTCTGCCTGTGCCAACTGAGGAGCTGATTTGCACATTCTTCCTGTCAATGACATTGGTGCACATTTAAAGTATAAGTGAAACTGAACAAGGCAGACTAATTCAATTTATGTACAGTACTTTACATATGAGATGACTTGTTTCACCTGGTGAGAAAATTATCAAAGGCAGAAAATTATTGGCATATTCTGTAATTGGAATCATGCATTCTATAACTTTCATTTTTTTTAATATCAATTTCTTTTGACATTTTATTTCACAGCAGAGAGGCTGAGTCCTATGGTTTATGCGAAGGGACTAAGAGATTGCAGTAAGTAAGACTGAGAAGACAGTCATGCTTCAGAGGAGAAGGAATAATTATTTAGAGACCAGAGGCAACTGTGGAGGGTTGCTCCTAGTGAGAAAGCCAGTTAACTGGAAGTAATTGCTCTAAATGTAACGTAAAGAGGAAAATAAATGTATTAAAGTAGTTTTTGAAGTGTTAATTTTTTTAGAGGTTGTGGAAGATTCAGTCCTGTATGTCTGCGTACAGGATTTTGTCCCTGTCTTCATTTGGAATTGGGATTTGAAAATAAATATAAAGCTCTTGAAAGCAGCAAAATGATGTTAAGAATATTGCCAGCTTTCTTCCTGGCACTTGCATTCTTTTCGCTCCCTCTGTCTGGAGAGGATTGTAAAGATCGCAAAAGAGGGAACTGAAATAATGAAGTTCATATATAATTAAGATATAAATATTGGTCTCATCAAAAACAGAGCCAATATAGTGATGAATTCAGCAATTTACAGGAGTAGTGGAAAACTGGAGAACTGTGTGAGAGAAGTAAAGCTTTTACTCTAGAGCTGTTTCCAGGATGAAAAACTGAATTTTGGGCTGTAACTGAAGAGGAGGCTCTGAGGCATACTGTGAAGGCTTCAACCCCCGAGAGGAACCATTCAGCAGTGGTATGGAGCAGTGCAATCAAGGGATATCACATTCAAAGTGGATAATAGATATGAAGCAAGCCACAAACTTTTACAGCTAATTTTGCTTTTCTCTCTCTTTTCTTTATAGTTTTGCACAATCAAGCCTGGAATTCTCTGTCAGAGTACAACTAGAATGAAAATATTTAAAATAATGGCAGCATAAACTCGTACAAGGGAATGCCAAAGAAATAATTCATAAATTTTATATCTTTTTCTGCATACCTGGATTATGGGCAAATGTTTAATGAAATGATACTCGTTCTCTTGATAAACTGTGTATAAACATGTAAGAAAATTCACATGCAGGATATACTAATTAATTTCTTTATGCAACATTTGACTTTCTTGTAGACAAATATTATAATCCATATTTTCTTCTACTCTGATAAGAATGCTATCAACTGTATAATGTTTTTGTGGCAATACCTGCTAATTTATCATAGAAGGAGATCCATAAAGGCTTTGTGTTTCTGTAAAGTGGATGAAAGCAGTCATGGACTGAAGGAATGTGATGATTCAGCTTATTGAACTTCATTAAACATTCCTCTGTTGTTGGAATTCTCTTATGAAATAAACACATTTTCTTAAATACATCATTAGAAACAGACTGCACGCTACAAACTTACTTATTATTATTTGAAAGTTCTGTTCAATCACTTCTCAATATTCTGTGCCATTTTCCTTTCTACATTCACATCATTTTCTTTAACCTTAATTGACACCTACATGCCTTCTCATTGATCACAAGAGATTTAATAGGCATAGTCCATTTGAATGAATGGAACCACAGATCTCATCATTAATCAGAACAAGTATTTAAGGACCAAGTTCAGAAAACAAGGCTTAACAATTTGCTATTGGCTTTCCAGAATGAAAAGACATTTCCCTCCTCAAAATTTGTGTAGTTTGCAGGTGCTAAAGTAACTAGGCTGCCCATGAAGCTACCTTGAGGTTCTCAGCCAGCTCAAACATGTGATTACGCTGAAATTCTGCTGTTGACTGAGTCATTAATAATTAAGATACTAATTTCATCATGGCCAGGGTTTTGCATCCACTCTTCTCTTCCCACAGTTCCTATTTTCCACATCTCTTTCTCAATAGAAAATGATGACATTTTTAATTACCGTTGAATAAGTTAATTCTCTTCAAGCTGCACTCTCATTTTATTCTCCAGCTATTCTAGAGGCTTTCAGTTTCATAATGTTGTCTTTATGAAGGAATCCTGCACAGAAACACTGGTAATAAACTCGTAACTGGTAAAATAAACACTGGTAAAATAAACTTTGGCAACAGCCAGAACTGACCACTGATATGATTAAATCATTTTTCCTGTAATGGGGTCCAGCATGCACCGTTCCTGAAAACCGAGTTACATCCTAGATCTGATTGTTCCCTGTTATTTGATATCTGAAACATTTGTCTGTTTTTCCTTTCAGAGAATGAGTGTCAGGTTGAAAGGTTGAATGGAGTGATTTGTGTGGTGCTATTTGGCAAGATGCTGCCTGTTTCATCAATGAGAAATTTAAAACAGAGTCTGTGGCGTGATAAAGGGTAGAGGTTGGAGGAAGTAAGGAATGGAGAAAGTTGTTAATTTTATAGATAAGAATATGAACACGAATTCTAAGTAGTAGAAGTACTGAAATGTTTTATTATGCTACTTTGTATACTTTAATAATATACTTTATTATGTATGTGAAGCAGTTGGCTTGTGACATTGATGTCACCTCTCTTTTCTTTGTGCTTGTCCTTTATGCTTAGTCTTCTGCACTGGTATTCACATAGAGACTTCTTTTAGCATTGTTTGTTGCTCATTTTTAGTGAACATGACAGCAGTAATATTGCTTGTCTTTGTAACCAGTTGTTTGTTTTCTTTAAGACCTGCCTGAGACTACCTTAATTGAAGAGGAAGTACAGGAGACAGAGACGTGGGCCAGGCCTCTTGTCTACCTTTGGCAGAAGAGAGCACATAATTTCAAAGCTGAAAAGGAATATAATGCAGCCTGTGCCAAAAAGGAACCACACTGTGCCATTTGCACTCTTCTCATGCCATACTACAAGGTAAGCAAGATCCTTATAGTTTCATCTTTGAGCGAAGCGTGAAATAGCTGCCCAGCTATTTCATTCCCAGTAAATAATAATAAAATAGAAATTGAATAAACTTATGTGTTTGATTTATATGAGGAGTAAATAAACGCAATATGGCTAAAATTAGAACTTACACTCCATTTAATGTTGATTGCAGACCTTCTGCTAGATTTCATGTAGGACTGCTAGTAGTGCATATATGCTTATGCTTGTAGACAGTTCTGAAGTGGTGAATCCACATAGAGTCTTATTTTTAGACATTTTTTTATGTGTCCTTCTTCAAATGCTTTTCCTTCAAGCATCTACCACTTCTCTTTCCTTCAGTGTTGAAGAAATAACTATTTTCACCGTACTTGGGCCTTCTCAGGAATAATATTCGCATGGAAACAGTCTAACCACAGCACTATTTGATATCAGACTGTGGAATTCTTATATCAAATGTCAGTTAACAATGCTGACGAAGTACTGTTTGTTTTGTAAAGATCAATGCTCGCAGTTGAATAAAATATTAAACCTGAAAGCTGACCTTCGAGTTACTTTGAAATACCATGCAAGGACTGTGACACACTAGTTTACACTACTTTTTTCACATTTAATAAAGTAACTCTTGTGTTTTTTGGTGCTGTTTTGACATCACTGTCTTATGAATGAAATAAATACACTGAACTAAGACTATGTGTTGAGCAGAAGCAAACTTTTCATCTGAATCTTTTTTTTAATCTGTAGTGATTTTACTAGTTAACACTAGCGTATGAATAGAAAAATACTTGTTGCTATAACATTCCCATCTCCAGGAGTGTTGCAAGCAAAACCTGGTAATGTTTTAGCTGCCTATGATAGCAGATATAAAAATCTTTAATGAGTAAGACTGTTCTAAACATTTTTATGAATCAGCTCCACAGATTTACATAACATAGTGGCCTCTGTTGTAAAATTGAAAAGAACTTTTGACTAAGCAATAGTAAGCCCTGCATACTCAGAAATCCTAAACTGGGTGGAAACTACAAAATTTCTCTTGGAGAAAAAAGCCGCTCCGTAATAGTTCTGCAGTTATGTATTTCCTGAACATTGTGCTAGAGACTACTCTCTTCTGCACAGAGCCTGTTCTCTTTGTAATGGAAATCTCAAAAATTCTTAAAAGGGAAGCCCCCTTTGTGTGAGGACTGTGAAAAAAGACTATCTTGACCCTTCAGGAGCCAGGGAAGCATGCTGTAAAGTGGATTGGTTTTGGTTTCTCTCTTGCTTCCTCCCGTCACCCCTTTCTGCTTCTCATGGCCACCTCCCCACTCTGGGAAATGTTTGTGTATTTCCAGTTGCCAGCTGGGGAAACTCTTTTTGTATTGAAAGCTGGACTACCAGCTTCCCCATTTGTCTTTGTTTTTGTGGCAAAGGAAGGCATAGTTGGATTGAAATTACCAGTCAGTTAAATCTCCCTTCATGGGTAGATGGTACTTTATTTAATTGTTCTTCCCAGTTGACAGGAAAATATCAGATATGTCTGCATTACCAAGGATTTCCTATCCTCTTCCTGGAATTTTAAGGTCTAGCAGCTTCATGGATGAATCTCCGTTGCACTGGGCCCAGCTGAAGAGCAACAGTGGTACGATATCATTTAACACAATGGCAATACCACCAATATTCAAGCTGAATGCTATTTTTGATTTCACAGTTACTGGAATAGTCAAGGAATTATAGAATGGTAGTGGAAGAATCGCAGAAGCATTAATTTTCTTATAAAACTGTTACATTGTTAGTGCAAGAACTGGGAGGGGAGAAGTGATTTCACCATCATCAGAAGGACCAGTAAGTAAAACTCTCCTTTCTTTCAGTTAAATACAGTTTTTTTGTATTTTCCAGCCAGACAACCATAACAAAGACAATTATACTTTTGAGGAAACAGTCGCTGAAAAAATATTTATGGCTGAAAATGAAAAGACGAAACCACTTATTCCAGAGATGTGTTTTATATATAGTGAAGAAAATACTGAAAACTGTCCGTCAAATGCCTTTATTGAAGAAGATGGAACAAGTCTTCTGATTTCCTGTGCAAAGTGTCGTGTACAGGTTCATGCAAGTAAATAAACTAATTGTTCAGTTGGTAGAAATGTCATCTCAAACTTTGTTTAACTGATAAATAGTAGTTAACTAGGCATCAGATATGTCAAAATAAATACCTGAAAAACATTTTCGTATATAATACTTAAGTCATTCGCTAAAATTTTTGGAAAGTTATATTAAGTGTTCCATTATTAGTTAATGGTTGTTGTGAAAACAGTGAAGAATTAAAAATTTGAAGTTTACTATTCATACCATTAAAGAAGAGGAAGAAGAAAAGGTTTTTATATTTAGAACATTGATCCTGGTAGCTGGCAAGCAATAAGCTGGCCATTGTAAACTATGCTTTCATGTAATTCTTTGCTGCAATTCCAAAAAATTTCAATCCAACTGGGCAGGTATTTGAATGCAGTACTTGGAATTGTGTTGATTGGAAGGTGATGCATTTCCTCTTAGTCATCCAAAGCTGAAGTTCCAACTGAGTACTACATTCAAGTTCCCCAATTATTTGGTTCAGTCATTCTCTGAGACAATTTTATGTTTCCAGATATAATGACCTTATCAGCCATCCTAGATGACCTTGTTAATATTTCTGTAAACTTTCAATAGTTATGAAGTGCCAACTTCTAATTGCTGTTTCAATCCCTGGCTGTTTAATTTTGCTCCTCATATTTTAAATGACTATGTGATGTCAGTATGTTCTTACTAAGTAGTCAGGGTGAAATTTTACTGTATTTGAGGACTTGTGACTTACCGTTGACTTTAGATATGCAGTAATTTCAGTCCTCATATTCATTTTTCTTTTGAGAGTGATTGATGAATGCACAAATTTTCCACAGTATCTTCTACAGATGTTAGGACTTGACTCTGAAAAGTCCACATGAATTCCATATATGAAAGTGCTATGTAATTGCACAGAGTGAATGTCAATGCCCTATTTGAAATTATTCACTGGTACTGTAGGGGAGAATTGGTTACTTGCTATTGAACTGAAAAGAAATAATAAATTCACTGGGTTTTTTTGACTTGGGAAATGCTTATAAATATAATTTATATATTCCACAGACTACTTGGGAATAGCATTACGCCTAACATTGGAAGGGCCTCACTGGTCACAGGAAATGAATTGTACTAGTGTTTGTACAGAGCTAAATTGTATGACACCATAGAGAGAAAGGCAGACTATATTACTCAACCGAGCTCTCTTATTCTAGGTTGCTATGGTGTCCCTTCTCACGAAGTCCATAGTGAATGGTTGTGTTCTCGATGCAGAAGAGGAGACTGGACAGCTGTAAGTTTCACATATTGCTCAGCTATCTAACACATTACAGATCCAAAAAAAAAAACAAGAAAAAAGAAAAAAGGAAGGTGTACACATTATTGTATGTGTAATACAGCCTGTGTACCTGAAGACACTTTTGCGGAAGTAAGGTTTATTTGCAAATTATGATTAGGTTTCAATGTAAAATGTTTTTAAAAAACTGCATTTTGAGACACAGAAATTTGGAGGAGTTTTACATGCTCAAGAAAAGTCTTGGCTAACAATATAGTTCTGTGTAAAACATTGTTCAAAGAAACAACTGAACATTTAAATGTATGTCAGAAAGAGAAGAAATGAGATTTCCTCTAAATATTTTAGACTTTGAGTATTTGTATGTGGGCAGCTGGGGAACAGAGAAAGGGAAATAGAATAATAAATTGCAGTCTAGAATGAAAATGTTCTTTTATAGCATTTAAAAGTTTACTGCAGTGTTTAATCAGAAAAAGATTTCACTTCTGAAGCTCCTAAATGCCTATTGTTTTATATAAAAATAAGTATGCAATAATTTTGTGTAAAGGGAAATAAATAGATAAGTAAGTAGTAGTTGATAAAATCCCCAAATTCTATATTTGTTTAAAAAAAGATAAGCAATTTAAAATTTTGCATTTCACTAGTCTATCAGTTGGCCTGCCAAGGCAACCAATGTTTGTTTTCCTTAAAATAGCTTGAGGAAATGTGATTATGATTTTTGATCGCAACACAACTCTTCTTCATTCAGGGGTTGAATTAAAATCAGATAGTCCAGATGCTTTAAAAATATAAATCCTTAAATAGAATGATAAAATTTTTAGATATATTCAAGAAGAAATGAGAGTCGCACTCCTGGAAACTACGATATCACTTTTCACACTTCATTTCTTACAATTATGAACTTCACACTTAAGATAACTAACAGTGATAGCATTAGTGAAGTAAGAGTAAGAATAAATGTGAAAACTTTGCTTTTGCTTTTGAACTTGGTCCATGTTTTCAAGTTCCTTTGTGAATGCTGAGTGTTAAGGAAACAAATGAGGAACTAACATTTATAATGCACATATTAGGTAAACTGGAGAAAACAAAAGGAAAAGAGTGACTTAGAACTAACTGCTCATTGTAAAGTACAATCTGTTTATAATGTTTAGTCCAGTATTCTCTCAGCGAATACCTATTAAAAATTTACTCAATCAATTTCTACCTCTGTAATATGTTCTAATTTTAGTAGGCAAGGCATTCTTATTAGGTAAAATCCAATTTTCATCTTTCATTGGTAAGCAGAAAACCTTGTTATAGCTTCCTTATCAGACAGTCAGGAATTGTAGGATCTCTGGAATTACTTTTGCAACCATTCTTCCAGAGTCAGTGGGAGGTTGAGGGGAAAAGCAAAAGTCCGTGCTATCAGGTGACAGGGTGCCATTAAGTTAGAGTCTAATTATCAGTTAAGCAAACAGGGTTAAACAGCTCTGCTGGTCTATCAAAAAGTTTTGTCAGTTTTCTTTCAGGGGAGAGACAGCAATGGCTGTGATGAGAGTCCAGCTGAAGAGCTGTATTTGGCTATGAGCGCACATATTTCAAAAAAAGATTAGACTGAATGGAGGAGTAATTGAGATCTGGGAAAAAAAAAAAAATTCAGTCATTCTTCCTAGACCTTAATCATTCCATAAGGGAGGACTGAAAAAAATTAGTTTCTTCAGTCCATCCAGAAGACAGAAGGGAAATACATAGTATTCTCATACATAAAATTATATATATACTGCAAAGAGGAACATAATCAATTGTCATCCCCTCCTAGTAAGGACAAGACAAGTTGTAGCAACTTTAAACTGCATCTGCAGATGATTTTGTTAATCATCTCATGAAATTTTGCAAACTTCTCTTTGTAAAAATAGTGAAATACTGGAGTGGGCTATGTATAGAGATTTAGCAGAATCTCCTCCTTGAAGATTTTGAAAAACGTATTAGGCAAACATTTGTCAGGAGTAGTGGAATAAGAGTTAACTGTTCCTTGGAGCAGAAAGAAAAGGTAGACACTGAAGTTTCTTTTTCCTATGGTTCTCTTTTGTCATTACCTATCTGAATAGTACTATTCATTGCAAAGAAATGTGAATCTCCTACTCTATGGAGAAAAACTTACTTGATATACAACTTAAATCTGTATTTTTGCATGTATGGAACCCTATTTCTACCATCTGCATGTTTAAGCCCTGCTGATACTTCTTTGCGTCCTGTTTATCATGTTAGGATCATATTTCTGTCTGTTCAGAGTTTGAAGAATAACTTTAAATTACCCAAAAAGCTTGCACTACAAAATAGTGTGATAATTCCATCTAATCTTAGCATTATACTTAAAATAAATATGATTGCCTTTTAATGAATCTTCTATGCATATTTAACAAAAGACAAGTTAACTGAATATAGTACTGCCCAGAGTACTATTTTCCCTTTTTAAAATATGTAATTTATGTTAGTGCCACCAACCTTCTGCTGAAAAGTTTGTACTACCTTTGCATTTCATGCCTATATATTCTTTTATTAACCAGTTTCTCATCTGTATAAATTTTTCTATATCTGTTGTTATACATATAATATTTAATTGTGTTTTAAATTGCTCTACGGCGCCATAAGTGTTTCTGGAAAGGGAGACATAATTAAAGAAAATTACCTATTTGCACAACCTCTTTTTGCTTAGGGGAATTTAGAGTGATGAGTATGTGTTACATTCCATTTTACGTGGCTCATACTTCAAGTTTCTATACGAAACCTCGATCAGGTTAAGTGTTCTTAAACACTGTGGCTATTGTAGAAGATGTGAAACAGAGTTTAACTATGGGAGTTATGTACCCGCATGCCTTTAAAAATACCAATTCTTGCATCAGAAAAGGGCACAGAATCGGCAGATTTAATTATCAGAAAATATCTATTGCCTGAAACTCCAGCTTCCAAAAACCTGAAATGTTTTCATTCCTCTTCACATTGCTGCCGTGAAGGAGGATATTTAGTTGAGGAAGACCTGTCTGAGGAATCCTCTTCTTAGTAAGAGTTTGAATCCTTAATGGAAGGTTGCTTGGCAAACAAGGAAAAGAGCAAAGTTTTGTGTAATGGAGAAAAAAATTTAAGTTTTAGAAAGAGTAGTGGTATAAATGACAGTTTGAATTGCATAATTCAGGTTTTAGGGGGAAAATTCTTTTTCGTGCCTTTGCTTAAACAAGTATTGTTATTAGTTCTGTTAAATAATACTTTCTTAAGCTCCAGACAATTATGTTAACTTTATAGAAAATTTAATCTCTACTAACTTCATGTGTATCTGTGTGATTTTAAACTGAAGGCTAGATGACACTATAGAAATTAAAGTTGTTTTGATAGCTAAATGAAACTGTATTTTGTGTGATTTTCAAGAAGGAACACCACTGAAATTTGGAAATAGAAAAATTCCTACGGCGATTCAGGTTTACAGATCCAGACTTTTCTGTGGTGCAGATTTCTATTTTGTATTATTGACTTTAAACTTTGTATTATCGATTATCAATTTTAAATTGTTGATTTCTCTAAGTAACTGAAATAGTATGCTTTATAATATTTTATGTCAACCTTTTCATCTTTCAAGCATATCTTTGTATTCTGCTCTGCGGTAGGTCCTGTTTGATAATGATTATTGATAAGGATAAGAGTGAAATTGAATCCGTCTATGTTCGGGCCCCCGAAACAGTGATAAATCACTCTCCTAAAACAACAAAAAATCAAGTAATACTAAATAAGTCATCTGCATGACTTCTGAAAGTGTAACTGTATTCATGCAAAGTGTGTTCATACAGTCTTGATTGAGAACAAATGCCTCATTAATCTTAAATGCTTCAGCTAGAGAAAGTTGGTGAAGTCAGGAAGAATAATGACTGGCATTATAGGGAATGTTACATACTATAATGTGTGCAAGGATATAGTCACCTAGAAGCTCTACTGCATAAACACAATATCTCTGTTATGCAGGGGAAAAAAAGGATTTGGGAGAGGAAAGAGTTAGAAAGAAGAAGAAATAAGGGAATAGTTAAATGCGCGTGGATGATTTACCTCATAGCAAGTTATCTGTAAGTAAGGCTACTAAGAAAACTGCATGACTTTTCACGGATTAATTTATCCATCCCTAGCACTACAGAAATAGTTCAGCATTTTATCTCACCAATAGCACCGATTTCAAGACCACATGTATTTCAAGGATCCTATGCTGAATATTAGTGACAAGTGTGAAACAGTTGTGTGGTGTTTTTCCTGTAGGTGAACTGTTTCATGCTTTATGTTTTACTGGTCATCTGCAGACTTTTGGTATATTTGGAATTTCTTAATGAGAGTAGCCCATTACATAGGTTGAAGGAATTCTTAAAGCCTATTATTTTTTTCCTTTTCTTTTCTTTTCTTTTCTTTTTGCAAGGCATTCAGAAAAGTGGCATATGCTGACTTTCTGTATTCAAATCCAAAAACTAGAGACTACTTTCAGTTGACATTTCTGTGTCTTCAGAAGAGTCCGCTGGAACATTATTTCATTCTACAAAAAATAATGAATTTGAACAGTCTTATTATAATGGTGCCCTTCTTGCTGGTATAGTTAAATTTGTGTCAGCATTTCTATTATTAACTCCCATTTTTAGAGCCTGATAACTGCCAAAATAATTCACTTCAGGTGAGGTGGTATACAGTGTCTTAATTTTCAGACTGATACCGCTAACAAAGCTTTAAAAGCATTTGGATGTTGATAAAGAGAAATTTTTGGGCTGAACAATAAAATCTGGCTATAGCAAGAAAGGTTTGAACTTTAAATTTTCTCTTTCTCCCTTTCTTTTTCTTGTTTTTCCTTTCCTTTTTTTCCTTTTTTCCCCCCTTCCTTTCCCCTTCCTACCGTAAGAGTATAGATTTTTTTCAATCTGACTTTTCGCCAACTTTCTCTGCAGAAAGGTGGCTTAATGTGAGAACGACTTTTAAGTGCCAGTGCTAAGCATATGTGG